TAATGGTTGTTTGGTGCAGGACCCTCAAACGAGACAGATCCTTAAGACAGGCCGTAAGCATGGACGTCTGTTCGAGCTTATCCATCTTCGCAGTCTGCACAAATCATCTACTGTTGCTGCTGCATCTACTATGTCTTCTTTTCGTCTTTGGCATTGTCGCTTAGGACATATTTCTATAGTCATTTGAAAAATTTAGTTTCTAGTGGTCAATTAGGTCGTGTCCGTCTTGAAGATGCCGATTGTTTATCTTATCAAATTGCTAAACAACCTGCCTTACCTTTTAATAAAAGTAATTCTATTTCTACTGCTCCTTTTGATCTTGTGCATTCAGATATTTGGGGACCTTCCCCCACACCTACCATGGGGGGATCCAGATATTTTGTGATTTTTTTTGATGATTTTTCTGGTTATACTTGGCTTTTTCTTCTAAAAAATTGTTTTGAACTTAAACAGATTTACTATGATTTCTCTGCTATGGTCCGCACTCAATTTTCTCGTACTATTAAGCTTTTTCGTTCTGATAATGCTAAGGAGTACTTGGATTCTGATTTTCTTTCTTTTCTTCGAGCTCATGGTACTCTCTCTCATCGATCTTGTGTAGGCACTTCCCAACAAAATAGACGAGCTGAAAGAAAGCACCGTCATATTTTAGACACTACTCGGGCTCTTCTGCTCTCTTCTTCTTGTCCTGAAAAATTTTGGGGAGAAGCTGCCCTCACTGCCATCCACACCATCAATCGTGTCCCCACCCCTGTCATAGCTAATATTTCTCCTTACGAGCGCTTGTATGGTTCTCCTCCTGACTATACCACTCTTAAAGTTTTTGGTTCTGCTTGTTTTGTTCTACTTCAGCCTCATGAACACACTAAACTCGAACCTCGTTCTCGTCTTTGTTGTTTTCTGGGGTATGGTATCAAACATAAAGGGTATCGTTGTTGGGTTCCTATCTCCAAGCGTCTTCGTATTTCCCGTCATGTGGTCTTCTAGGAACACAAAATGTTCTCTATTATTTCCAAGTTTCACCTACCGCCGACCACCCACTCACCAGTCTTCACTGATATTTCTATAGATCTATTTTTTGATGACTTTAATGCAGATTTTGACCCCATGCTTCCACAGCTGCCAACGCCTATCATCCATCCTGAGGATTCTGTGTCAGCTAATGGCCCTACGCCTTCTCCAGCTCCGGCGGAGGTTCCTCCGGAACCGATTTCCATCGCGGTTCCTCCTCCACCTGAGCGTCATTCTACACGGGTAAGGCAACCTTCTGTTCTTCTCCGTGATTATATTGTTGGTTCCACTGCCTTTTGCTCTCATGAACCTACTTCTTATCAAGACGCTTCTTTTAACCCTCTTTGGCAACAAGCTATGACTGATGAACTGCAGGCTTTCGATCAAACTCATACCTGGGATGTGGTTGATCTTCCTCCTGGAAAGCGCACTGTTAGTTGCAAATGGGTTTACAAGATCAAAACTCATTCTGATGGTTCCATTGAGCGTTACAAAGCTCGCCTTGTCGCCCAGGGATTTAGTCAAGAATATGGGATTGACTATGAGGAAACATTTGCTCCTGTTGCCCGTTTTACTTCAGTTCGCAGCTTACTTGCCGTTGCTGCTGCTCGCCACTAGCACCTTTTTCAGATAGATGTCAATAATGCATTTCTCAATGGTGATCTCACTGAGGAAGTTTATATGCAACCCCCTCCTGGTTCTTTTGTTCCTTTAAACAAGGTTTGCAAACTTCGCCGTACTTTGTATGGTTTAAAACAAGCTCCACGTGCCTGGTTTGCCAAGTTCAGCTCTACCATTCGTGACTTTGGTTTTTCTTCCAGTGCCCATGATTCTGCCTTGTTTATTAGTAAGACAAAGCGCAGTATTATTCTCTTTCTCCTCTATGTGGATGATATGATTATCACTGGAGATAACACAGTGGGTATTTCTAGCCTCAAACAGTTTCTTCATCTCCAGTTTGAGATGAAAGATTAGGGTGCACTTAACTACTTCCTTGGCTTGGAAATTTCTCAAGATTCCTCTGGTTATTTTCTTACCCAGGCCAAGTATACTTCTGATGCCACTTTATATCCAGGCCAAGTATATCCTTAGACTCGTCTTACACCTCTTGATGGCCCCCTCTTGTCAGATGCCACTTTATATCGTCAGCTAGTTGGTAGTCTTGTCTATCTCACAGTTACTCGTTCAGATATTGCTTATGCTGTTCACATTGTTAGTTAATTTATGACTGCTCCTCGCTCTCCACACTATGCTGCTCTGGTTCGCATTTTGTGCTATCTCAAAGGAACTCTATTCATGGTCTTCACTACTCCCCTCACTATTCTCTACAGCTGCATGCCTTTTCTGATGCTGATTGGGCAGGGGATCCTATTGATCGTTGTTCCACTACTGGGTTCTGCTTCTTCTTGGGCAACTCTCTCATTTCCTGGCGTAGCAAGAAGCAAACCCTTGTTGCTCGTTCTAGTACCGAGGCTGAGTATCGTGCTCTTGCTGACACTACTCAGGAGCTTGTGTGGCTTCGTTGGCTTCTTTCTGACATGGGTGTTTCTCATTCCGCTGCCACCAATCTTTATTGTGACAATCAAAGTGCTATTCAAATTGCCCATAACGATGTCTTCCATGATCGCACCAAGCATATTGAGATTGATTGTCACTTCATACGACAGCATGTTACTAGTGGCCATGTTCGTCTTCTTTTTGTTACTTCTGCTGATCAGACCGCCGACCTCTTCACCAAAGCTCATCTTCCAGGCTGCTTCTCTGATCTCCTCCCCAAGCTCAAGTTGATATCTGACTTACCACCTTGAACTTGAGGGGGGGTTAGCTGTATATTATTATAGATATCTCTTATCTATTTGTATTGTATCTCTCTCTATCTCTATCTCCTTCTTATCTCTATCCTTTTCTGTACCTATCTAGGTTTCCTTTCTGCCTATATATACAGGCTTCTCCTATTGTATCACTCATTCAATTCAATATACATTCTCTCTATTTTTCATAACAAAGAGCAACAGTAAGTGCAGTCCAAGACATATTTAAACCTAGAAGAAATGCAATCAACATTCCATTTGTAACAACATAAACACCCAACTTCCTCAACATTCTCTTCCAATCTCCCTTTTCCTTCCCCAAACCCCTCTCTTCCTCCTCCTCCTCCTTCTCCTCCACTTCCATAGCCTGCTGTACTATTACTTAATTTGCTTCTTCCAAATTATCAATATCAACCATCATCATGCTTCCATTTGAGTTAAAAACATTTGTCATCAAAACAGAATGAGACATAGTCGCAGGCGAAAATCGATGAGAAGTCACTTCTTCCTCAAATATCACCACTTCTTCATCCTTTTTGACACACAACACTTTCCAATACATACCTAGAAGTATAAGAACATTCACAACCACCCCAACAAGCATTGCAGGTAAAATCGTCAACACAAATTCACTAAAAGATATGTTACATTCGAATGGCAATGAGCAAGTTTTGGGGGTTCCCAATCGGAGTTGCAGCAGAACCGATATTAGCGCTCGACGCCAAGGCTAGCAAAAAAGGATGGGATTTGACATTGTTTTGCTTCGCGATTTTGAGCACGAACTCTGTTAAAACGACACAAGTCATGTCGTTTGTGAACATAGAGCTTGAAATCGCTGAAACAAGGCAGATACGACAGAGCAAGTCCTTCGGCCCTTGAGATTTCCATGAGAGTAACTTTCCTAAGTATTTGAACATGTCGGCTTGTTCAAGGTAGACACTGACAACCATGGTACCGAAGAGGAGGCCGAGGATTAGGAGGTCAATGGCGCCAAAGGCTTGGTTCGGAGTTAGGACTTTGAAGGTGACCATGAGTGCGGCTCCGAGGAGCGAGCCTGCAGTTCAGCCTATGGGAGGAATAAGACTACTGGAAAAACTGCTAGAACCCAAAACACAGCAAAACTAAACGAGCCTAGAACTAGTTTGCTTGTACAAGTCAATGCCATGTTGAAGGCTTGGTTTGAAGACAAAGCTCATGAATTAGAGATGAGTCAATGTTGATTTGCCTTTGGTGTCCTAAAAGACAAGATATTTGTTAGAAAGTTTGAGTTGGAGTGAGAAATTTTACAGTATGTATGTGTGAAAAAACCCATTTGAAACTTTTTTGGATTAAAGAAGATACAAGATAGTAAAATATATTTCTTTACAATTCGGAAGCACTAGCAGTTCTAAGAAAGTGATGTTAGATAATTTTTACTGTATTCGAAGAATTGATTAAGGAAAAAGAAAATAAGTTTGATTACTTAAATTAAAGCAGAACACAGAATAATAAATTATAAAAAACAGATTCTTATTTTGTTACACAAAACAAAACAAAATCTAAAAAAAATAAAATTGAAACCTGAAATGAAAATCACAAACAAACTACTTACAGTCACTACAAGAAATTGCAGTTTTGGCAACTAAATTTTTAGTTGCCAAAAGTCATAGTTTTAATCGCCAAAAGATTTTTCCGACTAAATAGTTTGGTCGCCAACTTGATCGCGGAAAAACGGTCGGCGAAGGTATTGGCGACTAAAAAAAATTTAGTCGCTGAAAGTCTTAAATTGGCGACTAAACAAGTAGTCGCCAAAAGTAAAGGTTTTGGCAACAAAAAAAACTTTAGTCGTTGACAGGCTAAATTGGGACCAATCTTTTAGTCGCCAAAAGCTTTCAAAAAAAATTAAGATCGCATTTTCAGTGACTAAAACATTTAGTTGCCAAAACTAAAATTATTTTCCACGACTAATTTATTTAGTTGCCAAAATTTTTTTTTTTTGTTCATTTCATTTTTTTTAGCTACTAAATGTTTTAGTCGCCTAAAGAATATATTTTTTTTTTAGCTACTAAAAATTTCGTCGCCTAACGTCTATTTTTTTATTTGGCTACTAAAATTTTAGTCGCCAAGAGTTTTTTTTTATTTTATTCTTTTTTAGCTACTAACTATTTAGTAGCTAAAAATATTTACTTCCTTTTTTGCTACTAATTATTTAGTAGCCAAAAACATGATTTTTTTTTTTTAATTTGTCTATAACCTGTGTGTATTCCATGCAACCTACATAATGTATATAAACAAAACAATACATATATTATTAATCATTTCGCAATTTGCATCTATTTTGCTTCCAACCATCCAAAAATGAATGACTTTTAATGTCAAATTCCATACAAACTAAGTATATTCCAATCGATAATAATTCCATACAAAACAAAGAATCGTACAAAAACCATTATATTTGTATAGACTCTGAGGATGATAGTCTGTCCAATATTGAACCTCATTTTCTAGAGCTTCAACTATATCCTTATCTTGAATGTCACTATGAAAAGTATGCTTCCTGCTCTTGTTACCATTTGTCATATGTGATTTCTCCTGCTCCTCTTTGTATAAACTTTGCAAAAACAAGTTTTTGTTGCGAGGTTTAGATACATGAGTGGAGAGATCAGCAGTCCTACATGTCGGCAATGGGAAAGTTAGGTCCTAGTCATTAAAACTCAACTCTTACAGATCCAAGTAACTTCGAACTTGCTATCATCATGGAAAAATAGTAAGATATCCATTTCCCTTGTCTGAATGTTATCGATTAAGGATAAGTGCAGCTAGCATCCACTGATTTCTTATAAACTTGCTTTATAAATAAAAACTAAGCTAAGAAATGGTGCCTTATACAAGCAAAGAAATGGTGCCTTATACAATGGGGATCTCATACACTTGTGGATCATTGTTTGTATTGAAAACATTATTCTTATAAAAAGAAAAAATCATTGAACTCAAAACATAATAGAAAAATTGAGGTAAAAACCACACTACAAATGTTGGTAACATAGTAGTTCAAGACTGAAGGTTAGCTAATGCAGTGCTGATACCAGGACCCATATATATTTACAAATTCAGACTTATCATGTATTTAATTAACCATTTATGCTAATGAGAACAATTTTCCATGGTAAATCATACAAGAAAAAGGCTAATTGTGGACTATTTCCCATGACAAGAATCATTTTCAGCATATGTTTCTGCCATTGCTCTTCACCTTGACCAACATAAATAAAGCAATGGCAAAGAGGTCAATAGATTGCTACCGTCAGGATCTATGTATGAGACTTCTCCAATCAAGTCAAACAGACAAACTCTTTTATACACCGTCTCAAAAGCAGTAGTGATTTATATGAATATTGCAGGTGGTCATGCTATCTTATCAAAATGGTTGTCAATTGTTTATAAGAATGACTCTTTCAAAATACATCAATATGTTAGATTAAAAAACCATAGATATCATAAGCAACATTAAGAACACACCACATCAAAGGAAGCCAAATATGTGAATGAGGATTTTTTATATGCAGAATGCCATGATGGAACTTACTTGTGTAGAAGAAGAAATATGCCACACAAAATAAATGTTCCTGTAATGAGTATCCATCCAATGATCACCAAGCTGCAACAATTTAAAAGCACTCCTTCAGAAAGCTAAGCAAAAAAGGCAAAAGAACAGAAATTGAGTTTATATGAAGATATAGTCACTCTCACATGTACACAAGAAATTGCATGCCGAGTAGTGAGAATACTAGACCAAAATATAACCAAAATAAATAATTCAAGTATCAAAAGTAACATGGAATCTAAACTCTTGTGATTTTATTTATGGTAAAAAAAATAAAATTGAAACCTGAAATGAAAATCACAAACAAACTACTTACAGTCACTACAAGAAATTGCAGTTTTGGCAACTAAATTTTTAGTTGCCAAAAGTCATAGTTTTAATCGCCAAAAGATTTTTCCGACTAAATAGTTTGGTCGCCAACTTGATCGCGGAAAAACGGTCGGCGAAGGTATTGGCGACTAAAAAAAATTTAGTCGCTGAAAGTCTTAAATTGGCGACTAAACAAGTAGTCGCCAAAAGTAAAGGTTTTGGCAACAAAAAAAACTTTAGTCGTTGACAGGCTAAATTGGGACCAATCTTTTAGTCGCCAAAAGCTTTCAAAAAAAATTAAGATCGCATTTTCAGTGACTAAAACATTTAGTTGCCAAAACTAAAATTATTTTCCACGACTAATTTATTTAGTTGCCAAAATTTTTTTTTTTTGTTCATTTCATTTTTTTTAGCTACTAAATGTTTTAGTCGCCTAAAGAATATATTTTTTTTTTAGCTACTAAAAATTTCGTCGCCTAACGTCTATTTTTTTATTTGGCTACTAAAATTTTAGTCGCCAAGAGTTTTTTTTTATTTTATTCTTTTTTAGCTACTAACTATTTAGTAGCTAAAAATATTTACTTCCTTTTTTGCTACTAATTATTTAGTAGCCAAAAACATGATTTTTTTTTTTTAATTTGTCTATAACCTGTGTGTATTCCATGCAACCTACATAATGTATATAAACAAAACAATACATATATTATTAATCATTTCGCAATTTGCATCTATTTTGCTTCCAACCATCCAAAAATGAATGACTTTTAATGTCAAATTCCATACAAACTAAGTATATTCCAATCGATAATAATTCCATACAAAACAAAGAATCGTACAAAAACCATTATATTTGTATAGACTCTGAGGATGATAGTCTGTCCAATATTGAACCTCATTTTCTAGAGCTTCAACTATATCCTTATCTTGAATGTCACTATGAAAAGTATGCTTCCTGCTCTTGTTACCATTTGTCATATGTGATTTCTCCTGCTCCTCTTTGTATAAACTTTGCAAAAACAAGTTTTTGTTGCGAGGTTTAGATACATGAGTGGAGAGATCAGCAGTCCTGCATGTCGGCAAAGGGAATGTTATGTCCTAGTCATTAAAACTCAACTCTTACAGATCCAAGTAACTTCGAACTTGCTATCATCATGGAAAAATAGTAAGATATCCATTTCCCTTGTCTGAATGTAATCGATTAAGGATAAGTGAAGCTAGCATCCACTGATGTTAAGAAATGGATATAAGAAATTAGTATAGAATTCATCAACTTCACAATTTAATTCATCTTCTTTTTATTCAAATGATGTTTGATGTAGAGAGTATTATCTCAATTAGCAATTGCCATTTTAGAAATAAGTTTAAACTGAATTACCATGACCTCTATAATCTCTTTCTGTCACAAAATAAATTCATATTGAAAAACGTCCATAAGCAGCAACATTTATGCTAATGAGAACAATTTTCCATGGTAAATCATACAAGAAAAAGGCTAATTGTGGACTATTTCCCATGACAAGAATCATTTTCAACATATGTTTCTATCATTGCTCTTCACCTTGACCAACATAAATAAAGCAATGGCAAAGAGGTCAATAGATTGCTACCGTCAGGATCTATGTATGAGACTTCTCCAATCAAGTCAAACAGACAAACTCTTTTATACACCGTCTCAAAAGCAGTAGTGATTTATATGAATATTGCAGGTGGTCATGCTATCTTATCAAAATGGTTGTCAATTGTTTATAAGAATGACTCTTTCAAAATACATCAATATGTTAGATTAAAAAACCATAGATATCATAAGCAACATTAATAACACACCACATCAAAGGAAGCCAAATATGTGAATGAGGATTTTTTATATGCAGAATGCCATGATGGACCTTACTTGTGTAGAAGAAGAAATATGCCACACAAAATAAATGTTCCTGTAATGAGTATCCATCCAATGATCACCAAGCTGCAACAATTTAAAAGCACTCCTTCAGAAAGCTAAGCAAAAAAGGCAAAAGAACAGAAATTGAGTTTATATGAAGATATAGTCACTCTCACATGTACACAAGAAATTGCATGCCGAGTAGTGAGAATACTAGACCAAAATATAACCAAAATAAATAATTCAAGTATCAAAAGTAACATGGAATCTAAACTCTTGTGATTTTATTTATGGTGTCTCTCTTTGTCCTTGACAAACTCTTGGGTAATTCTAGAATTTTATAAAGTGGCAAGCATGTGATTTTTTTACAACATTTGGCCATTAACAATTTCTAAGTCAAATTGAGGTGTCCTTTACAGTGGCTCACTAACACAGGGAGGCATCAATTAGTAAGTATAGTTATACCTAGGATCCAGACAGCCTACCTTCTACCAGTAGAGAACATGAAAAACAGATATATCTGCAATTGTCCATTAAGATATTGAATTTTCTGCAGTCATGGTCTCATAATATAGCCATGCAAACAGAAATATGTAAAACTTATTCTTTAATCACATGCCAATCAAGCAATATCATGTTGACAGGGGCATGAAATTAAGAAAGAAACAATTCTGGAAACAATGTAGTTCATGATAGATCTAGAGCATATTACACAACCAAAATTAAAACAAAGGCAAAAAGTAAATTTAATAGTTCATTGTAACTAACGCAAGGCTTTTCTTTTTCACCAATTTATTTTTTTGAAAAACAGATATATCTTATGCCAAACTAGTTTGGTAATCGATACCAAGGTGTAGAAGTTAATCCAGAGAAGAATTTAGGTGAAAGTATGAGTCACAGAAGTATTTAAATTTGAGGCCATTCTACCAATAATCTATCAGACCCTCAGGTTGCATCAATAGATAAAGAACAAAAACAGTTCTCAACTCATGTTCAAAACTGCTTCAAATAATACACTGTTTATTTTTAATGTCGCTTATGTGAATTGTTAACAAAATGATAATTTTTTCACACTTCAAACTTTTAACTGTACTTTTTATTCTTGTACAAATGCCTAAATGAATGATTTAATAATAACTAAACTAACATTAACACCTTAAATATGGTATCTGAAAGTCACTGACATGCTACAGTATTTGTGTTGCTTGGGTGGTTGGTGTTGGTGGTGTAGTTGGAACTTGGAGTTGTTGTCAATGTCCATCTCTACAGTGTTCTCCACTGATGTGGCTCCCCTTGGGAACTTAGAAGAGGCACAGAATAATCCAACCTTTCCTAAAGGAAAAAAAACTGAAGATAATATAGCAAATAAGATTGATAAAGTAATAAAATAAACTCAGAAATTACAAGAAAAATACAATTCAAGAAGGGAGATCAATAGCATATGATCACTACATCAGATTGCTATCATTAAAACCAATATTCCATTTTGCTTTAATCTTATAAATTTCGAGATTGGTCATTGATTATGGGTTTGAATCTTATAAATTTCTTCTTTGTCAAACCCATAAAACGAAAATCAAACCCATTTTTGACATGAAGAATATCATAATTTCATAGAAATCAAACACTTCAACCAAGCCCATTAACGAAATCAACACAAAATTAAACTAAAAAAATCATATAAACCCTAGATGAAGTGTCAGAAATAGGGAAATAGGGGAAGGGAGAGAGAGAGAGAGAGAGAGAAACAGAGAGTGAGTGAACCAGAGAGATGGCTCGACAGAGAGAGAGAGAGAGACCTAGATCGACAATGAGGGAGAGGACTGAACACGACAGAGACAAACCTGTGATTTGCGGCAGTGTTGGTGGTGATTTCGGCGATGGCGATGGCGATGGCGGTGGCGACGTGCGATGGTAGGGACGGACGGTGGCCAGCGACGGTGAGAGAGGGAGGGGAGAAAAGCAGCGGAGAGGGAGAGGCAGAGGGAGAAACACTGAAGAGAGAGAGAGAGAGAGAAGAAGAAGAAGAAGCGCTGGTTTGTGGTTTGAAAACCAAATATATGTATATATATATTACACCGTTGTTGAAAGAATTTTATAAATCCCTCCAAAATATTTAAAATATCTCCCTTCAATAATTTAAGTTCTTTGGCGACTAAAATTATTTTTCGTCGCTGAAAATAAACTTTTGGCAACTAAAATTTTGGTCGTCAAAGGTAAAAAATAATTTTGTATTTTCCAATCGGCGACTAAATTGTTTTAGTAGCCAAAACTCAATATACAATGACCAAAAAAAAATTTTTGTCGCCAATTCTGGCATTTTTGGCGACTAAATTTTTTTTTAGTTGCCAATAACCAATATACCCCAACTAAAAAAAAAATTAGTAGCTAATTATTTAACTTTTGCCAACTAAAAAAATTTTTGGTTGCCATTTTTACAACTTTTGGTGACTAAATTTTTTTTAGTCGCCAATTTTGGTCGCTGAAGGTGCATTTTGTTGTAATGAGTATTGCTTCTCCGGAAATTCAATCAAATTCAGTGTTTAACACTGTCTTCTTAAGACAGATTCGTCCTCTCCGCGGTACTTTCAGAATGTGGACGTCTATCTCCCAAGATAAAATGATTGACGACAATTACTAGCAGCACTACAAACTAAATGTCCAGTGAACACACTTTGTGTTTATATTCTTTTTTACTGAAAAGTTATGCAGCAAAATGCAGGAAGCAAAAGCAGAAAGAAGAACGAAAATTGAATGAAAAACCAAATGGATAATCTGTCTATTTATAGGAGACTTGGTGGCTGTTCGGGACAGATTTGAACAGGTAAAGAACCTGTTTGGATTGAAGGAAAAGGTGCATTGGACTAAACTTCCAACGTTCATAAACGTTGGGGTCATTTCGTAATTTATTTTGAATTTCAAACCGAAATTCAAATTCCAAACGGTAAGAATTTAATTTTAGAAAAATAAAATTCAAATGTTTTTTGCCCAAAAAGATAAGCATTGGACTACACAAGCCTAACCCAACCTCACACCTCGCCTCCGCGCCCAAGCCTAGGCCCGATCCGAGCGGTTGGGCGGGCGGCGATGGCACGCGTGTGTGGTAGTTTTTGGGTCCAATGGGTCAAGGCTCACTTTCCCCATAACTTCCTCCTCCACAAACTTGAGTACCCCTTGAGGCCCTCCCCAAGATGCAAACTCAAGGCTTATAACCAAGTTTTCCTACTCAAGCAATGTAGGACAAGCCTTTTCTGTATCCCTTATGGAAACCTCACCAAAACACCATTTCCATAGAGCTTATTTTGGCATTGATTTCTCATTCACCCGATAATGGTTTTGAGCAACCAAATATACGACGTGAATTGTTACGTGGCAAAGAACGCGTTGCCACATAGACCCGCCAACTTTGGCGCATGGGTCCCACTTAAAAAATAGACCAAAGTTTTAGAAAAAACTATTTTTTTTTTTTTGCTCTTTACAAAACCATTTCTTACAATCCCTCACATGAATAGAATTTGATGACAACGAAAATGCAACAATATGCATAATTTGTCGAGAAAGTATAAATTGAAAATATCTTGCCTCAGGACAAGTAGCTTTCAGCCTTGAACCTTTCTTAATGATAACCTATCGAATTTACTAGCTAATCAGTGGGCGCGATACCTTGAATTATTCAGTCGTTAGTGTAAGCTAAGACATTATATTTCACACAAAATATCTTCTGACACATTATGGTTCTCACGATTGTGTTCATTTTGGCCCTGAATATTCCTGGTTATTCATGAGTGCTCTAAAGAATTTAGCCTCTTTATTCTTATAGAACTGGCCCCAGTTCGACACTCATATAGGTGATTCTTATTGAGAGTATCCCTTATACTCATCTTAACCTTTTATTCCTAAGTCAAGATATAAGTAATCGTTAGAAGCAAAGCTTACCCTTAATCCCTTACATTCAACATATGCTGCAGATATCACTCTCATCATAAGAATGGATAAGGATTTTAATCCCTTAGTGATTTGTAACGAGCCACACATAACTTAGTTGTCCCTTTGAACTTAGTTCTTGGGATCTTCAGCCATCTAAGTAGGGTTACCATTATGATGACTCTTACGTAATAGGCCTTAATCTCATTCTATTCGATGAACTATACACTTTCTCTTTTACTAAACTTTTTGTTAATGGATCCGCCATATTCTCCTTAGACTTTATATAAGCTATTGAGATTATACCATTTAAGAGCAATTGTCTTACGGTATTATGTCGATGACGAATGTGTCGTGACTTATTGTTATACATATAACTTTGTGTCTTTCCTATTGCAAATTGACTATCACAATAAATGCAAATAGCTGGCACAAGTTTTGGCCACATTGGAATATCTTCTAAAAAATGGCAAAGCCATTCTGTTTTTTCTTCTACTTTATCTAAAGCAATGAACTTAGATTTCATTGTAGACTATGCAATGCACGTCTGTTTCAAGGATTTCCATGAAACAGCTGCACCTCCTAGAGTAAAGACATATCCACAAGTGAATTTTGAATCTTTAGTATTCGATATCCAATTTGCATCACAATAGCCTTCGAGTATTGCACGATATCAAGTAAAGTTTAAGCCATGAGCACAGGTAAATCTTAAATATCTAAGAACCTGAATCATTGTTTTTCAATGATCTTTTCCAAGGTTACAGTGTACCTGCTTAATTTACTGACAGCATATGCTATATCAGGACGTGCGCAATTCATTAGGTACATTAGGCTTCCAATAATCTGAGAGTATTTTAACTGAGACATCCCATCACCTGAGACATCCCATCACCTTTATTTTTTGACAAATAAATATTGACATCTACAGGTATTCTTGCTACATTTGCATCATCCTTGATATATTTACCAAGTATTTTCTCAATAAAATGTGATTGAGACAAAGCATATCTGTTAGATGTTCTAATAATTTTCGTTCTTAAAATAACATCTGCTACTCTCATATCTTTCATATCAAATCTTTTGTTCAGCATTTGCTTAGTTGATTTGATCATATTATGACTGCTACCAATTATGAGCAGGTTATCTACATAAAGACAAACTATGACATATCTTTTGTCAATGTTTTTAATATAGACACATTTATTACATTCGTTTATCTTGAATCCATTAGTTAGCATAGCATGATCAAATTTCTCATGCCATTGCTTAGGAGCTTGTTTTAATCCGTAAAGAGATTTTACAAGCCAACACACTTTCTTTTCTTTCCCTGGTACTACAAACCCTTCGGGCTGTTCTATGTAGATTTCGTCATGTAAATCCCCATTTAAGAAAGCTATCTTAACATCCATTTGATATATCTTAAGATTATATAATGCTGCTATAGCAATAAGCATGCGAATGGATGTGATCCTTGTTACTAAAGAGTATGTGTCAAAATAGACCAGATCTTCTTTTGTCTGTAATCTTTAACCACAAGTCTTGCTTCATACTTGTCTATTGAAACATCTATTTTCATTTTCCTCTTCAATATCCATTTATACCCAAGAGGTTTGCACCTAGGTGAAAGATCTACCAACTCCCAAGTGTGATTTTGCATGATGGATTCAATTTCACTATTAACAGCCTCTTTCCATAATGGTGCTTTAGGAGCCGACATTGCTTCCTTAAAGCTTCAAGGCTCATTTTCTAATAAGTATGTGAGAAAATTTGGACCAAAGGATTTTGAAGTTCTCGCTCTTTTGCTGCGTCTTGATTCATCATCTATTATTTCCTGTTGGTTATGACTAGTACTAATCTTTTGTTCTTGATTGTCAATAGTATCCTGACCTTGTGTAGAATCATAAATTCTTTTCTGTAAACTTAATTCTTGTCTTTTCTTATGAGGAAAAACATATTCAAAAAATACGACATTCCTAGACTCTATAATAGTATTTATATGTATATCAGGTATTTCTGACTTATGAGTCAAAAATCGATATGCGCTACTTTTATGTACATAACTAATAAACACATAATCAACTATTTTTGGTCATATTTTAGTCTTTTTAGGAACATGAACTTCTACCTTTGCTAGACACCCCCACACTTTAAAATATTTGTAGGAAGGCGATCGACCTTTCCATAACTCATAAGAGGTGCTATTCATTTTCTTGTGGGGTATTATGTTAAGAACATGATTAGCAAACAATATAATCACGACCCAAACCTACCCCTAAAAGTTTGGACATGACCGGCCTGAACTTAAGCCTCAAAACAAAGTAATCAATAAATAATGTATATGATATCGAGGCCTGAAATGGAAACAAGTATGATGACAAAAAGAAACGTCCATTGAGCGATGTCTAAATGCCAGGATCTTAGTACACACATCATATACATCCACATTTACATATACCATTCAATAATAAAAAAAAATAAAAAAAAAATCCTCAACTTGCCAACCTAAACAAAAAGGGCAATAATCCATAATTTACATATTAGCAATGTATCTATATTCGTAGCAAAATGAGATATACAAAAGAAACCCAAAATAAAACAAAAGGGTTTCACTTGGGAGGCTTAACAGACTGGACCAACAAAACAAAAACTCCTGGAGCTAGCCTAGGACTATCCCTCGGGCTGACCACCTACAAAACATGCATGAGTACAAAATGAGCCAAGCTCAGTGACTAATAATAATGTACTAAGGCATGTAAACGAGTGTGTGCCTTGCAAAATGTAAAGCATGTATGTAACTTATGTATGTCCCTTTTTGATTAACAGAACAGCCTCAGGCCCAATTCTAATAACAGAATAGCCTCGGGACCAATAATAGCAGAACAACCTCGGGCCCAATAATAACAGAACGACCACAGGCCCAATAATAACACCATAAATAAGTGCCATCTCATATCCACATTCTATATTGCATTTCTTGTAGCTCATTCATTCTAATAACATAATTTCAGAAAATCAATCAAATTAACTTATGAAAATAAATATAAGTGTTTTACACTACTATTACTCACAAGGCACACACACACAACTTGTAAGTTATTCACTTTTCTTTAGCC